AATATACACTATACAAAATGAATGTATTGAAAGCATGCAGGTTATTTTTTTTCTTCATGGGAACGCATTTTTGTTTATGGCCCCTGATTTCAATTCCATTATTGTTGGAGAATCACACAACACATGCTCGGCTTCCCTCTATTATTCTCCAAATCATCCGTATTTTCTTTCCCCGAGGCACTTTGTCTTGTGGGCCGTTTTCCCTAAGCAGTTAAATAAAGAAACAACATGGCTGCCCAATAAGAGCTGTAATCTTTTGGCCGTCTTCCAGACTCTGGCTGGCTGGTGCTTGTTATTCCTCTGTTCACTCTGTGAAGGAAAAAGTGAGTTTGAGTGATCTCAGCCTTTGGTGAGGGAAGAAGGCGTGATGCCGTCGGTAAGACAGGCAACAAACTCTGTTCCGCTGGGAGGAAGAGGGAGGTAGTGGAGGAGGATGGAGTATTGAAGTCACACAAGTGACTGTTAACCTCTTTATCTGTGATTTTTAAAACCTTTCATTCTTGATCAACGTGTTTTCCCAAAATGGCTGTTTTATTAGAGCACATCAAAGTGCAGTTTCCTTGCGCACTTACGAGATGACGTCAAGGGTTGTGTGAGATTGATAGAGCCCGTAGAAAGGAAAAAAAGAAACATTTGAAATTCAGAGGTCATTCGAGCCTTGAATGTAAGCATTTCTGTCATCACTACAAATACCCTACTGTTCAAAAGGTCTGTAAGATTTTTTGTTATGTCTTTGAAAGAAGTCTATGCTCACCGGCTGCATTTAATTGATAAAAAAATATACAGTAAAATCTGTAATATTGTAAATATTATTACAAAAAGAACAAAATAACTATAATTATAAATTCTTTGTGACTTTTGAACAATTGTGTCCTTAAACTGACTGCCCCCAAATGGCAATGGCAGTGTATATAGGAATTCACCTAAATATCTTGATTCTGATATTATTTACATAATGTAATGTCATTCCAAACCAATATGACTTTCTTTCTGCTGTGGAACACTGAGAAAAAAAAGAAGATTTCTGAAGACTTGGAATATAGTGCACAAGTCCTGTGGGCCATTTTTTTTTACTCTTTTGTGGTTCTTTTTGTTATTCTGGAGCCCCTTTCTTCATTTACTAAAAATTTATGGAAAAGAGTGACTATGATATTCTACATAATCGTAGCAACCATATTCACAATAAACTATGTGGCGTACGCCGATTTTAATCACAATAAACAGGCATGTAAACACCTCAATCACATTACAGATAATGTACGATTTGTGTTGTATGCAAGAAAGAAAGTAATACGGATTTGGAACTACATGAGAGAGCACAAAATATCGCCAAATCTTCATTTTTGGATGAACAGCTAAAATCGGTCTTTGCCAAACACTTTTCCTGAAGACATACATACGACATTTTGAAGAGATGAATCTTTCTATCTCCCTCTCTCACACACTATAATAGTTTCCAAATGTTTTTCTGATCATTATCGCAGTGTGGTTGTGTGTTTGTCGTGTTGGAGCTGAAATGTGAGGTCATGGTGTGGACACAGAGAGAAAGACAGACCTGCAAGAGGACTTAACCTCAAGCTCTCTCACGGGAGCTTACTTCCTCAGGAAAAGACTTTGTACGTTTACATGTGTCACTCAGTGTGGTTGAGGAATGTGTGCATTAAAGTGACCATTTCTAAAAAAAAAAATCAGTCAGTCAGCAGCTCTAAGAATGATTGGCTACATTCAGGGTTAGTGGGCAGTTCCCCACTGCTGCAACAACAATTATGATGATTCAGTATTCAGATTATAGATGATTATCTAGCTATCTTCTGCCACTCTGAACTGAAATCTCATCCTCCTGCATATTGCTTGCTAAAATGGCTGTCTCTGATGAAAGTAGGTAATGGATTTGCAAGAATGTAAGAGCATACTTCTTACAAGTTCAAAGGTATGTTCTATTAGTATGCATGTGTTTAGACATACTACATCGATTATGACGTCTCCTCCATTTGGTAAAAAAAAAAAAAAACCTTGCAGCTGTGGTCAGCAGAACTTTAAACTGTAAAAAATACAGTAGCAACATTTGAAGTTTTACAGATTGACCGTAAATTTACAGTAAAATAAAAAATAAATGTATATTTCACAAGTCGAAGTATAGGTGCACAGTGTCATACACATAAACAAAAAACATTACATTACAAACATTAATAAGTTATTATATAAGATTTATTTACTTATTATATAAAATAAGATGTAACATAAAAGTCTAATGTACATAACTTATAAGAATAAACTAAGAAGAAAACAGTTATTCAATGAAAAACCATTGAGTGGTGTCAAACAGAATTGTGGGAATGTCAATTTATGTTTTTTTTAAACTATAAATTACCAAATGCTTTGTTCTTTTATTTACGGATTTACAATATTTAAAGATATTGTCTTTATGTTGCTTCCACATTAATTCGAAGATACGCTGATTACAAAATTTGATGTTGTGTCATACAGAAACCTGATTATTTCGGGGTTTTTTTTCATTCTATCAGCAGAATTGTTTTTATGTGTCACAGTTGAAATGAATTTAAATGAAAAATTTCCCCACTGTATCTTTTTTTTTTCTCTTTGAGACTCATTGGAGACACACTGGCTTTACGTCTGAGTCTGCTCATCTGCCCAGGTTGTCCTGAGCTTTATCGGCTGATGGGTAAATGCAATGCTCCTTCGCTTTCTCTTGGCAGGAGAGACATAAGCCTAGCTGTAGGGACCTCTGTCTACACACACACACACACACACACCCTTATGGGTCCTTCATCTACTAGATTTGGTAGCTGATTACCCTCTGAGCTCGAGAGAAACATTCTTCATTCATCCTCCCTTGTGATCTTGCTGCCATTTGGCATGTCTGTTGTTAAAGCTGACCTTCAGCTGGAAGGTGCACTACTTATTAAAGCACAACCTAAACATAAATGGAGATCTAATGACCTGCGGTGAATTAGACCAGACAAGTCTTGTGACCATTCGAAACAGAACTGCACCTTGAACCTTTCGCCATCATTTCAGTGTAGCTGCCAAGAGGGTCCTGTTTAACATTCATCACCGATGGCTGTACAGTGTCATTAGGTGCTGTTATCTTCACACAGTGCTTGTTTTTCTCCTCATTATTCCATGATCTCTTTCTCTGTTGTGTTTCAAGGTCATGGCTCAGAGCGTGTGTCCGTTCCAATTCTACGGTACAAACACATCACTGCTTGCTTAGTTTCTGTGGTAAGAGCCTCACTGACCTCCTCGAATGTGGGCCAATTAAAGGAGTCTCTGACATAGGAGGGCACTAACGTGTGAAGCCTTTTTTCTTTGTGAAAGTGATTAAGAGGGTAAATCTTCCCATTTAGGGAGAGAGAGAGAGAAACTGTAGAGAGAGTAGAGGTTATTAAAGAGGACAGATGGGTAGAAAGAGTCTTGGTAATGAGCAGGAAGTATGCTGTGTGCCAGCTTGTGTGTTTGTGACTTGTGTATAATATTTATTATGAATAATAATAATTAATAAATATATAATTATACACATTATTTATTTATTAATTGATATATTTAAATATATACACTACCGTTCAAAAGTTTGGGGTCGGTACGATTTTAAATACTTTTAAATACTATGGCTGCGCTTATTTGATTAAAAATACAACAAAAATCAGTTATAGTATTAAATATTATTCCAGTGTAAATCAGCTGTTTTCTGTGTGAATATATAGTAAAGTGTAATTTATTCCTGTGATCAAAGCTGAATTTTCAGCATCACCAGTGTCAGTGTCTTCAGTGTCAAATGATCCTTCACAAATCAGTATAATATGAGGATTTGATGCTCAAGAAACATTTATTATTATTATCAATGTTGAAACAGTTGTTGGTCTGTCAGTTGTACAGTTTTTCTTTTTTTTAGGATTCTTTGATGAATAGGAAGTTCAAAAGAACAGCATTTGTTTGAAATATAATCTTTTGTAACATTATAAATGTCTTTACTGTCCTTGATAAATAAAAGTATTGATTTCTTTCCTCCAAAAAATAAAAATAAAATTCTCACTGACCCCAAACTTTTGAACGGTAGTGTATATATATATATATATATATATATACACACAATATATTTTATTATTACTATTATTAATAATGTAAATCATTTAAAAAAATATTTATTTTAATTTATACATATATTTTTTATTAGTATTGCATTTTTGTATTTTATATATATGTTAATTAGAATGCAATAGTAAATAAAATATATTACGTATAAATTATTAAAAACTATATAAATGAATAAATACATTATACATAAATAATCATTAATAATGTGTATAATTTTATTTATTTATTATTATTATTTTACCTGCATATCATTTAAGCAAATTATTTACTTTAGTTTTACAACTCAGTGAAATTAAGTGCAAGCCAAATTCCACCATACAGAGCGTGAATGACAAACCCATATGGATTTCATTTATGTACAATTTGTTTATGTATATAATATATAAATTATTATGATGTAATATATGTAAACCTATTTGTAAACAATCTCATGTTCTGAACTGTGTTTAATAAAAGCACATTGTTATGCTGGGGCAGGTACCGGAATTTGCTAAATTATGATATTGCTGTAATTTTTTTATGGTTGTACCACACAATCCATTTTCTCTGTACTTAATTAATTGGCTGTTTTGTCTTTTTACATGCTTGCATAATGGTTGACCCTTATCATTTAACAGTGACAGAACTGCAATATGAAAACACTGCTTTCATTTTTAATTGTGCAGATTTTTTTGCTATGGGTTTTTGGCTTAAACATGCTTTGATCTTCTGCATACTTATGGCATGGATTTGAAGTGACTTTACAGAGTTCTATGTAAAAGCCTGTTCTAGTGATACAATTTAAACAGTCAAACAATGTATCATAAAACAGCATGTTTTCAGAATAATGAGGCAGAATGTGTATTTAGAATGTGTCTTCACGCCAAGTTTTCTATTATTTGCAGGTCCATTGTCTCGGAGCCCTTGTGAACTTTTGCCAGTTGGGGTGGGTCACCCGGTTCAGGCCATGTTAAAGAGTTTTACTGCCCTATCAGGCTGCGCTAGCCGAGGAACCACCAGTCTTCCTCAAGAGGTGCACATCATCAACCTACGAAAAGGCAATACACAAGGAGCCAGAGAGAAACCAGCAGAGGTACAGTAAGGTTCCTTCACTACTAGGCCTCAAATGCTGCAACGGATCCTTATGTGCAATAAGCCCGTTTCATATGCATTGATTAGCTCATTTCAGTTATGTCATAATTAAGCATTTGAACACGAGAGGGATGTATGCTATCGAAAAACCGCATGACCTCAAATGTACTCTTAGTAAATAAAAATGTGAATCGAACAAACCCCAAACATAATTACAGTCAAGTTAAGTTTTAGTATTAACAATCTCTTGTTACAGCAGTTACCACAACATAACAAAGTTGCATGGTTATTATATAAATACATGTTATTAGCATACAGGCTAACTTAACTAGTGACACGTATTAATGCATTTATTAAATCAATGAACTTATAAATGCATTGATGCTATATTGTGTACAATTAGCTGCAGTGTTGACACTAGGGGTAATGACTGTTTTTCAGTAGCGCAATTTCAGATTGGTGTAGTTTTTCCAGCAAGCTGTTTTTTTCCAATTACTATCTATTATATGTGATAAATTGTTACTTCACTGTATCATGCCATTTTATTGTGCTGTTTCTCACATGTAGCACTGGCGAGTCTGATTCAATCGATTAATCGATCCGTTCGCACTGTTTGCATGTTAATATTCACTGGTCAAACTAAGGATTCAAATGAATTTTCCAATTTAACCACTTCCAATTACAAGTCCCTTAAGCTCACCAAGGCTGCATTTATTTAAGTAATAATACAGTAAAAACAGTAATCTTATGAATTACTATTACAATTGAAAATAACTCTTTTCTATTTCTATTTTAAACTGTAGTTTATATAGCTTGACTATATTTAAACCATATTACATTGAGATGAGATTGCTTCGCAAGCTACATTTTCAAAAGTAGCTTTCCCAACTCTTTGCACTTTAGCAGGTATGTCTTTCAGTATGTTCATGCAGACTTAAACACAGACTAGCAGAAATGTTGTCTGACAAAAGGGATGTCAAGGACCCCTCGTGAGCACTATTTTAGATTGTTCAAATAGCAATTTCCCTGTTATGAAACATCAAACCACTAAACCTGGGAAACCTAGAGTTGTTTAAATGGCTTCATGGCAGAGCTGTTGCTTGTAAGTTTAACTTGCAATGATAAAGTGGTTATAAACATACTTTGATTTTGAACTTGGCTGAGATGAGGTGAGTTGGCTGGATTGTTAAGTTGTTAGTTGGTGGGTGTTGTTGAAACAGCGTGGGGTGCGTCCAGAGTTTGAGTATGAATTGATGTTGTAATTGCTGGAAGAACTTTTTGGCCGAGAGCATTGCTGACTCTAGATGTTCGCAGCGAGACGGTACAATCTCATCTTTGCGTTATCATTTCTGTAATTAGAGCATAGTGCTTTAAGCACATGCACAAAAGCGATTACACTCTAAAAATGCTGGGTTGTTTCAACTCAAATTTGGGTCAAATATGGACAAACCCAACCGTTGGGTTAAGTTTTTTATTTAAATGTTTTACCCAACGGTTGGGTTTGTCCATATTTGACCCAAATTTGGGTTGAAACAACCCAGCATTTTTTAGAGTGTATGATATGAACCCTTCCTGCCCAAGTTGTGCGTTTTTTTTATTCTGATTAGTAACCAATGAGTATGGAAAGAAAATATGTACTTGGAGAAAGATTGGCCTTCAAGTTTTCAGCCCTCACATATCACTAAAAACAACGCCATTGGGCCTCAGGAAAGTTTGCGGTAAATTTTTGAGGCTCTGTCTGGACTTTTGTGAGCGAAAAGGGAGGAAGAAAGAGGCAGTGAGACGGGCCAGAAGAAGAAAGAAATACAGAAAGAGTGCAAATGGATGCAGTTGTCGGGCACTATCAGCCACGCGGATCGAGAAAGGCTTTTTTTCCCCCTCTGGACATTGTGAGGCTTGGGCTCACAGCTCTATTGAAATACAATATTGGTCCCTGCCGACACAGACAATGATGGCTTTAAACCGCCTCGCTTTCACTGTTGTGTGTTTTTTGCATCAGGGAGCAAGTATCACTCAACTGGGTCAGCGCAGACAAAAGGCTCTCTTCTTCACCCCTGCCAGGGTTCAAAGCCCACTTGGATTTTACTCTGTGGCGCTCCATTAGACTGCCGCTCATATCCATACCATGTACTGTGTGCCCTCACGCATTGTAATCAGGATCGCTGTTGTTCCCTCCACCCTGACAGACAGGAAGCAGAAGAAAAGCGCACTGGCCAAAGCACAAGAGCGGACCGCTGTAAACATCCGTGCCAGAGAGATCAGATTGTTGTTGGTGGCTTCAGTATGTGAAACAAAAGCCTGAGGAATGCTATCTGACATATCTCAGAACAGTAAGCAACATGAAGTGAGCGAGTGAGCGAGAGAGAAAGAGCTTCTTTTGTTTGCAAGTTGTCAATCCCAAAGTCATTTGCAAACAGAAGATTCAAGTGTTTGATAAACAAAATAAATGCTTTTATAGGCAAAATTCACTCGACTTTCTTGCCAGCTGCTTGCTGAAATTCACTACAGTGAATTTCTCTCAATCAAGGTTTTCAGTCTTTATTTTCTGTATATCCAGTGTCTAAAAACCAAGCAAATGCAATGGTGAGTAAATAAAATAAAGCTATCTGCCAGTAACTTTATTAGCATCTAGCTACTGTAACATGCATCAAGTTTATCTCCAGAACTCCATGTGATGACACATACTGTATGTGTAATATATCTCACATTAAGCCACTAAAATGAAAATATGAGGAGAAAAATCACTTTAGGTCTTAATGTTGCTGTTTGCCAGTGAGCCTTAGACTGGCTCATTACTGTTTATCACTCATATATATTTAAAAAAAAAAAAAAAAAAAAAAAAAATTTACTTTAAAAATGCAATTTCATGGTCAATAATTTTTTTTAATGTTAAAGCGGCTATATGTAAGAATTTTTATGAATTAATCGTTTTTTTATTGCCAATGTGTGAACAGCTTGTAACGAAACTTAAGAAATGAGAGCTTCCCTGACCTTGTCTCAAATACACATTGTAATCAAACTATCAAAACAGCAGAGCTTCTGCAAAAATATCCACATCTCCATGATCAGATGCTTTCTTAACTGCTGTTTTCTCACTGCTGTCATTTTTGTTGTGTTTATTTTGTTGTTGAGATGAAAGCACATATTTACATATTCATCTAAACGTCACTCTCAGCAGCGTGGGTGGCATCGGGATGTTCGTTAACCATATATCGCTGCAAAGATTTTTAACTTCTTTTTACTTCTAAGCAAAGAGTGAAAAAAACCCCCGCTGTGAGTATATCAGGGTATTGAATCACGTTTAGTCTCTTGTACCTTCCGTTTGCACGAGTGCGAGCACATGCAATAAGTTGCTGGCTGCAGTTCACTTAACAGCCACCGGCGTCACTAATAACAAGGGTTTCTGAATTCTACATATAGCCTATTTCATTTTAGAACCTGGTTTAAAGGTGCTGTATGTAACTTTTTTTCACTCTACTAAAGCATAAAAATACCATAATATGTCTGCATATATTGAGGAAACATGCTAAGTTCACTCGTTTCTCTGAAAAACACTTCTACAGCCAGTTATTTTACCTTGAAATGGACGTTTCCAGGCTGGAATGTTTGTTTTTGTTTTGGTCTGTGTGATACTGCACATTGCCAATTTGCCAATTTTGGTAAATGGTAAATGGACTGCATTTATATAGCGCTTTCACAGACCCAATGGCCACCAAAGCGCTTTACATTTTGCCTCACATTCACTCATTCACTCACCGACGGCTCAATTTTCATTGTCATTTGCGCTCGTTCATGTTGCGTGTGCTCAAACTGGCAACCCGTGTGAGCGCCGTCCTGTCTGAGGAGCAGTTGGCGGGAGAAACAATGATCTCCGATATTTAGAATTTGGACTGCAGTCCCTATTTCGACCACTAGTTGTCATTCTTACAGACTGCACCTTTAAGTGGTCTCATAGCCTGACCTAAAGCTTAACAATTAGGCAGCCAAAAACGTCATACATTTGTGCCTATTTACACTGCTGTTCAAAAGTTAGAGGTCAGTAAGATTTTTTTGAAAGAAATGAATATTCTTATCGAAAGTGAGCGTAAAGACTTTGTTTACATTTCTTTTTTTTCGCTTGGAGGGTCAGTTTTTTGTTCTGTTTAGTGTGAAGTATCTTTTGGGAACTTTGTGTAAAACCAATACAAAAAAAATTATCTAAAAAGAACACGTTTTAAAATAAATGCTGTTCTTTTGAACTTTTGAACTATTCATCAGAGAATCCTGACAAAAGGTGTATAACGGTTTCCCCCAAAAATATTAAGATAATAAAAAAACAATTTTAAACAGTTTTCAACGCGAATAATAATACATATTTCTTATGCACCAAGAAACAGCTGGAGCTGTTTGGGTAGTTCGTCTGAACAGTGCCCAAAACTGTTTTAAAACCAGCAAACTAGTCCAGCCTGGGAGACAAGCTTTTTCAGCAGGATTTCTGAGTGTGTAAGCGTCTCTAGGCGATTGATCCAAACAGCAGGTCATGCATAAACACCAGCACGTCTGATAGCATGACTCCTCAGTGCACGAGCACCATGAGTCACAGGTCGTGCTATTGGATCCCATCCTCTAAATGTGCTTCGTCAGGACTTTGCAGTGGCCTGAAACCATGTCCTGGAGATGTGTGAAAGTCAACATGTCTCAACTAGCCATCAGGATTCCAGCAGCCTACAGCGGAAAGCGGACTGGAGCTCTGCCGATGATGAATGAGACATGTCATTTTCTGCTATGCTATTGTGCCATTAGCACTTTGTTTTTGTTGGCAAATGGCTAAAGAGCTCAATTCCCTATGATGCTATTGTTGTGGTTTTGTATCTGTATCTTGGTAACAGATTTGCCATTTTTTGTGCTATTTGCACATAACTGGTTAACAATTGAATGGAGGCCAAGACTGTGTGTACTCAGCACATTCTAGGGTCTTGTTTGAGTCATGACTGCAATATGTCTTGGTTCGTTTTCCTTATG